TCGATACGATCGAATGGGGATTCAAATGAGCACACCTTTTCACACCTTGAAAAGGTTCACCCATGTTCAAATGAGCGAAACCACCACCGACCACATGGCCTACGTGCGATGGCCTACGTCCGGCAGCGCAGCGGAACAGCGGGCCGGCCAAGCGTACTTGGCGTCTCCTTTCTCGAGATGTATGACTTGGGGCGTTGTTAGGTGCCGCTTGATGCTCCTAATATAGGGATCAACCAGGCATGGTAAGTAGCAGGCGCTGTGGGCTTCATGGGTGTGTATTAGAGTAGGGATGAGTAGGGAGACCTCCCAGTTCGACCCCCTTCACTCAAAAAGAAGGGAAATTGGCCAAAACCATTCAAAACCCATTGGGCCGGGGTCTCCCTATTGCAACACACTCCGGCCGGGGTCTCCCCCTACACACCTGCCACACCTGCCACCCGTTTTTCGGCCAAACCGATGCTTCGGAAGCCGTCGTTTTCCACACCCCACGCCAGCGAGGTGATGCTGCGGAATCCGTGGGGCCGCAAAGAGTGGCAGGGCGATTGGAGCGACTCCAGTGACAGGCCAGCCGAACGGGGCTGCAGGGGCTGCAGGGGCGAACGTGACTTTTCTGGGGAAGGTGATGAAACCTCAATAAACCTCATGCCATGGCTGGGGGGGTTGGAAGAGTCCATTGCACCGGTGGAAGATTGACGACTGGCCTAGCCACTAAATCTGGACATGACCAACAACACAGTGTAACAAAGGGCAAGAAAGAACACCAAGTGGACCAAGTCCCTGTGCATTTGGATAAGCCTATCTAGCATGGGCCTAGCTCGTCGAAGGCTCGACCCGGGAAGACCTCGGCCCATTGAAGTAAGCCTTCAAAAGAGGAACTGTGGACAACCGTGGACTGGCCCATTGACTTCATGGAAACGCCCATTACCTTCATTGTACCGTCCATTCAAGTCTTGAACAGGGTATGCACAGATCCCCCCATTAAAGTGATGGGGGATACCTTAAGTGATATAGGTCGGCCTATTGAGGATTTCCCCCCTAGCTGGGCCCAGCTATACATGATTTGGCCTAGCAACGAAAGACCTACTGTACATCCTCAATAGGTCTTTGGGTTTTGAGGGTATGATATTTGCAAAACGGAAGATAAGACAACTTAATCAATTATCAACATGGAATATTAAGTCTTACCTGACTTACCTGACCTAATAAGCATATGAACCTCTTAAAAGAAGAGTCAAAACGGAAGTTCTGGGATCTGCGGGTCCGCGACGCGTCCTTCACGCTTCCGCGGCTTTCCATCCTTTCCATCGCCGGATCATGGCTGAAGCTTCGAGAAGCGTCCTGCTGGTGGCAGGTGGGATGAGAATCCGAAACTCAAGAAGCAACTTCATTCAGATCGCCTCTTGGCCAGATACGTCGGTGAACTATGCAGTGATATATCTAATGATGCAATGCAAGGGTGTAATTGTGCAGATTTGATGTTTTCTTTTTAAACCTTGCTGCAGTCGTATAAAAGCTGCATTGGGCTTGAAGAAAACCTGTTTTAAAGTTGTTTCTTTTTCTCGTTTTTGGAGGATAGTCCTTTCTCGGTGTTTGAACGCGACGCCGGTCGGGCCAGTCGGACCGACCGGTCCCGGATCGCCACTTGTGCACAGCGGCTCACATTGTCAAAGCTGCAAGAGCAAGGGACCAGAATGTATATCCCAGACACTCCATGTATGCCATATAAACCACCCCAATGTAGGCATATATGGTATACATGGAGCGTCTGGGTATGACAATATGCCGGCAAAGATGGAGATCTGATCCGAGACGAAGGAGGGGTCAAGAGACCCCGTTGGCACCCGGGTGATCGCTTCGGGACTCTCAGGAAATGATGGTGTCTTCTGGATGTGCTTGGAAGACTTCGCTGCCATGTGGCGAGCTCAGAAAACTAGGGGGTTTCCGGTCTTGGTGACGACTTCATGCCCACCTGGCGTGTGGGTGTTGGTGAAGCATGGTACAACTATACTGTTGACGAAAGGAGCTTTTGCATCCATTTTGGTGAGGACTTGCGCGTTCGAACATAGGTGTACTACCTGCCTCCATGACACAACCAAACGGAACAGGGGTGTGGAGCGTCTCTTCCTTCAAGTATGTTTTAATTTCACACAGTGCAAGTTCCAAGGGCAATCCACGGCAGCCTCCCCAAAAGAACGGCAGCTTCACTACAACCTTACATAGCACAACCGCAGACGCAGACGTTGTGTCGATGAATGTTAGACCGGCCCCTTTGGCTCGACGTGTGTGGTCTTCTCTTGGAAACCTGCCAGGTGACCGTCAGCCACCTTTCGGAGGTCCCCATGTCCCCGGGCGCCTCGAAGAGGCGAAACGGAACTCGAAACGGCCGTCCGCGTCGCACAGCTCTCGCGCGTCCACGTCCGCGTCCGCGTCGCGGAGCTCTCGCGCGGGGCAAAAACCGAGGTTCAGCCTCGTTTTCCTCTGCCCCTCCTGCGTGTCTCGCCCGGGCGAGACCCTCGATGAGGCGGTCGGAGGGGGCAGGAGCGGCAGGAGCGGCAGGGCACCGGTGCCGCACGGTGTCACGTAGGGAGGAGGTGGTGGGGTTTGAAAGGTTGTGTTGGAGCTTCCTGAAGTCCGTGCAAGCTCAAAGAACAGCCAAAGAACAGGTAGAAGAAGGTAGAATGGATTAAACTGGATCAGGCTGGTTGGGACTCGCACCGCAATCACTGATCAAGGGCCACACTTGTTTCCTTTGGGACTTACAAAACACATGTCACAAGATCGAGATCTAGAAATTCTGGCAACCTCACCGGCTTCCTTCCAGACCGTCGGCTATAGACACACATGCACACACACACACACACCGTGTCACACTGTGTCACACCCTTCGGTCAAACCGACGCCAACCAACCGACCCTGACCGATGTCGTCAGTTCTCCACCGAGGCCGAGGAGAACGGCGAAGCGGAGCAGGGCGAGGCCGTGGCCTTTCCCGAGCCGCTCGGCCTTCGCGACGCGCGGCGCGGTTACCGCGCGGAAAGCGGGAGGTGATGCAGGGCGCTTTGAGCAGGGCGGGTTTCCTGGAAGATGCATGGAGTAGGCGGAGTAAGTTGGTGCTTGTCTTGAAAAGGAATTCAACTTCAATAGATTTGGATAGATTTGGATGTTTCTTTCCATCCAAATGAATTCAACATTGCCTAAAGAGTGTTCTCCATATGCTCATTCAATGTTGATTGATGCTGTGCCCGAATGTTTGACTCCAAGCCATCCACGGTGGTGTTCCAGAGCGACCCCCCCAGAACTGCAGGGAAAACAGAGGGATCTAAGGGGGATCTGACTGAACAGGTGTGTGTTTTGACGTCATCCGTAGAAGAAGAACACCTGTTGAGATGTCCAAGGAAAAGTATTCTCCTCACAGATAGATAGATAAAATTAATCAAATGAATTCAAATTGAAACACCTGTTTGGGGCATCGGGCATCGCGTCATATTTGGGGTCCTCCAAAACGAATTGGAGGCCTTCCGCTTGTGCACAAGGTGTAGTACACAGCTGTCACAGCTGCATTCGTTGCGGTCGTTTTATACCAGGTGTGACGATGGGTTGTTCTGAAACCGACGGCCTTTCGCACCTTGGCCGAAACCCAATGAGCCCGACGAAGAAGACGACGCGACCCCGAAGAGGTTCGCCGAAGATGTTGACTGAAGCAGGTGGGTTCAAGGTTTGCGTCACTGGAAGTTCTGGGGTCCTCAATTCATATGAAATATGCCAGTTTGACGCCTCGTCCAGCCTTTTTGCCAAGGTAGCTGCTTTGCCCTGTCGTCTGCCTGGGCCTGAGGGCCTTTGCAAGAGAGCCTTTGGGGTGATCTTCGGAGCAGGACAGGTGGCCTCTTGAAGCCTTGATCACTTGACCATACGCAACAGGTGGCCTTTTGAGGCCTGCTTGGTGCTATTTACGGCCAGGGTTGATCTTAAAGATCTTAGTATTATGGCATGTCTCATGCTTTTGGAATCCATAGCTGGTGCTTTTCGCTGCAGCACTTGGACTGTGACATTGTCATGGAAACGCCCAGGCCGAGACTCGCCCTCCGTCACCAACCTGGACATCGCTCCCTACCGATTTCCGACTTGTCGGACGGCTGAACATCTGCCAAAGTTGCAGAGGGCCGTGCCCGGCTGCGCGGTGAAACAAAAACAGCCACGGGGTCCATCCATTTTCTTGGATTGCCCGAAAAGGCTTCAAAAGGGGTCTGAAGAGACTCGCGATTAGATGGGAATCACCTGGAATGAACACAACTCACGAACCATCCAGTCCTCCACAACTCCGCAAGGACCGCCCCATCTCTAAGGAGTCCTTCCATTCGTGTCCTTTGAGACAGGACGTCGCGTCATGGTGATGTCATGCGTCACATGTTCTCAGAGTCTTTTCTTCTGCGGAACGGGTTGGGGGGGGAACGGTTTGGATGCGGAGGAAGCCAATCAGGTGCGAACTGGTTAAAGAAAGGAGTAGCAGCTGAGTAGCATGACCCCACATGACCCCACTATAGGTGGATGCAAGAGTTCCTTCCAGTATTACACTCCCTGGAACTAACATGGAAGTGGAACTAACAGCTCCTTGGAACAAACAGATCGTTTTCTACTTCCATGGTTCCAGAGAGTGGATGGAGACTGTGGGAGACTGTTTCTTTGCACGAAAGAAAAAGGGCTTCGAAGCATAGCTATATAGCTGAAACTCTTCACCCAAGTTGAACACAGGGTTTTCCCAGCAATTGCCACTCAAGCTCCCAACGAAATTCTAGAGTTTGAAGACGGTGACCGGCTTTCTTTGGTTTGATGGACGTGATGGAAAACCCCCAAACAGCCCCAAACAGCGCTACGAACACAGACGAACAGCCCAAACAGCGCTGCTGGTCTCAGACATGGCAGACGGCCATTTTAAAGCTCTTGAAGCTCCTAAAATCTCCCAAAGGTCGGCTTCAACACCTGCTCGTGGGACCAACCTCGCAGGTGAAGTTCGTGAAAGAAGATGTGGAGAAGGCATGGATACGGAGAGGACGTCGACGTTTGGTGCGGCGGTGCTGCGGTGGCGTTCGCTGCGTCGACGCTGCGTCGACGTGTTTCAGGAGGCGATTTCCATCACTTCCTTGGCGACCGTCTGTCGAACGCGGTCTGTTGAAATGACTGGCCCGGAGACCGGGAATGGTCCGGACCACTTCACCGGTGTTTCGGTCACTGGTTGACTCTGCCAGTTTAGAGAATGTTCGATGGTTTTGTCAAACCCGTCTTCAAACCAATCGCCCCAACGGCGCTCAGCCTGGCAGCCTGGCCTCGTTGGTGTCGCTCCCGGGAGGCGGAACCGCCTTCGTCCGAGCCCCTCCGGATCGGCACGGTCACGCGGATCGGCGGTTGGTAGCGGCCGCAAGAGAATTCACGGGCCTCGCGGCCGCGTAGCATCTCCATCAGCGCCCCGAATGGCGCAGGTCATGATGGAGTTGCCAGATTACAACTTCTATGAGTTCAAGGAACCGGTTCCTAACCCATACCAAGGCGCGGCCATTTCCCGCGGCGTTCAGCTTCTGATGACTTCGGCGAATCTCAAATACCTGTTCGACACGAAAGATTTCAGTTCGAGCCATCCTTTTTCGTGCTTAAAACGTGTCATCCGAAAGGCGTTTTTTCAGCATGAGAGTCCTTCCCAAACCCTCATTGACTCATGGAGGTGTTTGGGGTGTCAAATCCCTAGGTTTTGAGGAACCGGTCGTGGGTTGTAAGTTTGAACCTCGAACTGCAAAGCTATTGAACCAGTCATGGAGCTTTCATGGGGAGAGTCGATTGTGTCTGGCCCAGGGACCGTCAGGGAAGTCAAGCGATTTGCGTGTAGACCGTGTGTTCTGCATATATCGGAAGTCGGCTGTTGATTGAAGTCCGGGATCCGTGGGGCGCAAGGAAACCAGTGATTATTGATGTTTCCTTGTCATGTCATTGTGGTGAAGGGCCAACACTCGGTTGCTGTGGCTGAACATCCTGATACTTGAGCATAGCTCTATATACTCTATATAGCTCTGAACGGCACCACCTTGCCCTTGCTGCCCTTGTAAAATGGACCGCCACTGGGTGAACTTCCCAACATTGGATGGACTCGCATGGACTTCCCCAGGTAGTGGAAGCAGTTGCCCGATCGTTTCTATCTATGTAACTATGTGGGGGGTCTCCAACCCCCCGGGGTTGGAAACGCTCGGATCAAGCCAAGCCCACTTGGGCTGCAAGGGCACTGACCGATCAACGTCGCTCTGCACGATATTGGTGCAAATCTTGGAGATCTTTGGGTCTTTGCAACAGATGTAGACTCTTGATGAATAACCCCCCCCATGTACAGAGGTTTTTCAATTCACATGGGGGGTTTATGGTCTTCAAGAGTCTACATGCATGTAGACCACCTATCCTTGTACGACCATTTTAGCCTGTTCGAAGCCCTTTGGGTCCGGTCTCACCCCTCGACGGCTCACCCGGCCGAAAAGCAGCCGCCAGGCACGACACTGGAGACTTGGATATCTTAGACTTGGGTTGAAAGTGGTTGATGAACCAGAACAAGAGCAGTCGCATCAACTGAATTCTCCCAGCCACTGTCAGTTCTCCCAGTGGCCACTGCAATTGATATGAATTGGATGTGTGGTAAGAATGACCGCCCGGGTTCGGAGCCGAGGGGTCGCACATCGGTACATGCATGCAAGTGCCGCAGTACCTTCTTTTTCCAACCCGGATAAAGAAGAAAAAGAGGGTGGGATTTCAGAAGAGTTGTTGGATGTTGTTGGATTGCATCTGAGCCGTTTTAGATTTCGTTGGGTCACCATGAACACTTCCCCCCTCACCACCCGTCGTCCACCCGTCGTCCACCCATCGTCCACCCGTCCACCCGTCGTCCATTAATCCGAGGATCGGAGCATCCTGCTGGACCCTCCGGCACCGGCGCTGGTGGCGCCCAAGTTCGAGTTCTCCAAGCTCGAGAATGGCCGGGATGCCGAGCTTTATGGAGGGGCCAAGCTGTCTTTGGAGTGTTGTTTCGGTGGTTGTTTTTGGATTCAATGTATAGATAGTATATTTTATACATATAAACAGTTGTATACATATCTTTATTGTTCTCATAGATTGCCTGACCTATGGCCCCAACTACTAGTACTAGTACTACTACTACTACTACTACTACTACTACTACTACTACTACTAGCTTGTGATGAAGAGAGACTCAGATGGGGATGAGTCGAAAACCAGCCATTCGCTTCGAAAAACAGCCAAGGGAGCCGCACTTGTATCCAGGGACCGGAATCCTGGTGGAGATGGACTCGTAGTGAGATGGTGCCAAGCTGATCCCTGGGTGGGGACTTCACTTCCTTGGGGATCCATGGTGGTGCCCGTAGTACCTGTAGTGTGATCCATGGGAATCCCTATGGGATCCCACTACGGGTACCATAGGTCCTAGGTGTATCCATGGTCCGTAGGTGATTCCCAAAAGGATTTCACTTCCTTGGTGACTGCGCAGGCGCCCGGGTGGGTGTTCTGATGTGCCGAACGTGATGTTTTTAAACATGTTGGAATAGGAGCGTCTGGAAATCTGGAGATTCACAGAAATAACACGATGGTAACTTATGTCTTCAATTTCTTCCCATGTTCCGACTCCGAACTCATTCAGAACACCATCGCATTTTCCTCGTCCGCTCTCTGATGGTTCTACTGTATGACGCCCAGTCCAAGTACCACTCTATAGTCCCCCATAACTTCCTTCTCCCCCTGCTCTCCTCTCCCTCTCTCCCGCTCCCGCTCCACACCCGTACTACGCCGTACGTCACGACACCAACGACACGACCGAGGCATCAAGATTGCCTCGGTGGACAAGCAGGGCCTGACCGCCCGCCTCGGCGTCTCGGATGCACCGTACTCGCGGCACGCCCGCACCGCAAAGGACCAGACAGACGGGTCCGCGGTGTACTCTTTGGTCGGGACGCGGTGTCCGTGCGGCAGGGAGGTGGTTGTTTGGTGGGAGGAGGGAGGGAAACGGCCGCGGTTGGTGAAGAAGCGCAGTTCGGAGAGCGGGGTTTTTGGGGTGTTTTTTTGGGGGTTGAAGTGATTTGGATTTTATTTGGTTGTGGCATCCAAGAGATGCAGGGACAGTGAGAAGAATGGAGATTGGGGAGAAGCTGCTGAGAAAAGGGGGTATATGGCGTTGGGTCAAGAAATCAGCTACCTTGCAGTGGTGGTTTGGCATGAACGGTTCGGGCCTCAAATGTCCTTGACGGGCATTTATTTCGGCATGACCGATGGCAGTCTCACTGTTTTGGTTTGGATTCAGGCACAACATGTTCCGAACGCTGCACCGCCTCCTTGAACCCCACTTGTCCCACCGAGAAAAACGTCCAATCGATGGGTGTGATCATGTCCAATCGCCACCCGTCCGATCTTGCCGGAGGTCTCTACGTCCATGCGGGCTCACGGTTCGAGACCTCCGCCAACTTGGGCGCAGCACACATGGCCGCATTGATGGGCTTCCGGTCCACAGCCCATCTCAGTCACCTCAGGCAAGGGGCCCTTGGGGCTCTTGGGGCTGGGTCTAACTTGGGCTTTCAGGTACTGAGCCAACTGCTTTGGAAAGGTTTGCTGGCAGGTGCTCAATCTAGATCGTTGGTTCGCTGTAGAATGTTTTGCATTCAGGGCCCTCAGTACTAGAGAACGATCATCAACAGTTTTCGATCTCACCAAGCAGGACACTTCATGACACTTCTATGGACGACAACATCGCTCGGCCCAGGAGTCATTACAGTTCATCTAATTACAGCCATTTCAGTTGGCACATGATGGCACAACCAATCCAAGCCCATAGACTCTCCTAAGTGTTTGTTCCTCCCCCTCCCTTCAAAACTGCTTGGCTACCTGGCCCACCTTGCCCAGAGCACCGAGCCGTCTCCGCGACCGCCGTCTCCTTGGCGACCTCCCGCCGGTGTCACCGCCGCGGAACACCACAGGACGGTGAAAACCTTGGAGCAGATGGGCGCCGATCAGTCGGCCTCCGCCAAGAGCGGCAGAGAGGAGATCCTCTATCAGGCGACGTGCGTTCGCTGGCGCTTCGAACATCTGATCGACGTGAAGACGATATTCACGTCGTGGGTCATGACATGGTCCGTTGTATACGCGGGTTTGCCAACGGTGAAAAAGACCGGTGTGGAAAAAGGTGTACCATGGCGTACTGTTGAGGGATTGCTTGAGGTTGGAGGTAGACTGTGTACTGGATGTTTGCAGTACAGGAGGGAAACTCGTGTTCAACCATAACAGTTTTCTTATGTTTTCTTATTCAGTGTGCCCCTCCTGTGACCACCCTGCCAACATCTTGGTTGTGCAAGTCCCCAGACACTCCATGTATGGCAGATGTAGATACATTGACCCTTGAAACCACCCCAATGAAGGTCCAATGAAGGTCAATAGAAGGTCAATATGCCAGTCTCATGGAATGTTTGGGAGTTTCATCATGACATCTTGCAGCCTGGTGCTGCAGCTGCCCTGCTGCACCACGCAGGTGGATGTGCAGCGGGAGATGCTGCCGTATGTGGTGCCTTTGATGGTGGGCAATGTGATCTTCCCTCGCATGTTGCAGCCCAGCTGTGAACATTTGGTCCAATCGGTGCCTAAGGTTTGTGTTTACCGCCCGGGAGGGCTTCGCTGGATTTGGAGAGAGATCATTCTCGAACATGTTTAAACATTGTTAAACATGGTGGATTTTAGAACGTATACGATGTTCTTTTTTTGCCAGGCTCCCAGCTCGAAGTCATGCGGTGAGCGTTTGTCCGGCGGACATTGAGGCCTTGGGAAGTGAAATCGGCACAGGGAGATGTGAAGACCGACAAGGAGGCACGACCCACAACAGAGCGAAGGTGTGCTGAATGACCCGCGTGACGCCACGAAGGTGGCGGCAATCTGATCCAGGCATTCCAGGCATATCCAATCGTTTTGGTTTGCAGGATTTGACATGTTTCTTCAATAAAAGCAATTCTCCCATCTCATTCAATCCCCGCCTGACGTGACAACGGTCCTAATGGTCGACTTCCTTTGGACCGCCGTGACGCGGGGTGAGGCGCTGATGTCCAACCCCGACAGCATGGTGAGTGAGCTGCTTCACAAGGTCAGACGTTGCGTGATGGGGCGGCATGACGATGTGGGTGTTGCATGCGGGCGTAGTAGCAGGAGCAGGAGCAGGAGCAGGAGCAGGAGCAGGAGCAGGAGCAGTAGGAGTAGGAGTAGTAGTAGTAGTAGTAGTAGTAGTAGTAGTAGTAGTAGTAGTAGTAGTAGTAGTAGGTAGTAGTAGGTAGTAGTAGGTAGTAGTAGTAGGTAGTAGGTAGTAACTTAGTAGGTAGCTAGTAGTTAGTAAGTTAGTAAGTTAGTAAGTAAGTAAGAATAGAAAGAAAGTAAGTAAGCAAGTATGTAAGTAAATAGTTAAGCAGTAGGAGGAGGAGCAGCAGTAGGAGTGGTAGCAGTAGTAAGATGAGGAGGAACAGAGCAGTAGCAGTTGTGAACAGTGACAGTAGCAGTAGTTCTTATTGTGGATTGCTGGGCAAGATTTTTGTCCTGCACTTCTACCCACTCGCGGGAGACCTCCCAGTCCTAAGCCTAGGCCTTCCGACCCCTGGAAGCTTCGGAACATAGACCATAGACCAGTAGGCAGTCTACCCGGCCAGGGCCGGAACAGTCTCCAGGAAGCGCTCTCTCTTAAAATGCACTCCCCAAAGGGCTCGTAGTAGCAAGAATGCTCGTAGTAGTAAGGCCAGGAGCTACCAATAGCTTCTTGCCCCGCACAGTGATTCTTCAGACTGGAACGGCCTGGTTGGTCAGAGCGAAGACTCAAACATTCATGGTGTGCGACCACTTTCGTCCGAGGGGCGTTCCAGCAGTTTGTACCAAATGAGAGCGGTGAGGTAGTGAAGCAATGTGAAGCAGAGTATCTTGCAGAGTTGGGCCCCAAATCTCCGGTGTATTTTTGGCGTCTTTTTGTCCTAAATGTGTCCTAACGCAGGCGGCTTACTGCAACAACACCCTGGGCCGAAGCCCACTGATGAGCGAGAGGCGGGAGAGCCTCGCCGTCTGAAGGCTGTGTCCATCCATTGCTGGAGTGGCTGCAGATTGCACGACCCAGCCTGCAGCAAAAAACCTGCAGTCCACAGTAGCGAAAGAATCACATCCGTCCCCAAGCTTGCTGGGTGGAGGATATTTCTTGCCACTCCCGGAAAATTGCCCATGGTTTCGTGCAGAGGACATCCAACCCTCTGTTTGTAGACGACTATGATCTTTTCAGGAACCATCCACATGAAACTGCCACCGACGGTTTCATGATTTGTCACCCAACAGTCCGTTCACCCCGGGTGAACGCGAAGGATTGGACGCGAAGGACAAGGACCGGTGGATTCTGAAGGGTTTTGGGACCTGAAAAGAAGGCACCACCAACGACACGTCCGCGACCTGAATGGTGACTGTCTGTTGGGCGACCTGAGGTCGATAGAGAAATCTCTCGGTGTTCCCCCCAAAAGACACCGAATGAACCCATACTGGGTTCTGTTTCCTTTTGATCTGTCAAGCGATGGAAAACAGTGTTTTTGGTGGTGGTTGTTGCGATGTTTATGGGGTCCTTCATTTTCAAGAATATTATCATTGGCCCTGACAAGCTTAGAACATGCCAGTGCCATCAGTTAGCGCAAGAGCCGCGTTTTTGTTCTACGCAATTCAGCTGGGGAGGGAAATGCAGAGCAGTGGAGTGTGTGCACCAAAGACTGCAATGGGTTTCTGTCTTGGAGGAATCTTCTAATGTTTCCCTCCAGAAAAGCATCCGCCCACAGATTCATGGCAGGCAAGGACATGTATGGACTATTTGACTCTTTGGTATTCTTTGGCCCGATTCGTTGGAATCAGTTCAATGGCCAACCCACCGTTACGAACCGCACGTCTTAGAGGACAACTTGATAGCAAGTAAAAACAGGGCCGAAGAAGACACGCAGGAGGCGCCCCAGTTAGGTAGTAGGTAGTGGTGATCAGTTTTCTGTGGAGGAGCGACTAGTAGAATCTAACTCACACTCTCCATGGGACCTTGATGTCTTTTAACTTAAAACATTTTTTTAAACCTACATTGACCTGGACAACCATGTAGGCATCCTGTAGGCAAATATTCTAGACATCCATTGTTTGGGAAAGGAGGATCATTGGCGGAGCCTCTGGTTTCGACCCAGAGACTCTTTTTGCTGCCTTAGAGAGTTCTTTCCGAGTGCCCACTCAAAAAAAGGCACTCAGAATGAATGAGATTCAACTTTTGAGAGGTCTTTTCCACATGAAAACACTGTTCTTTGGAAAACAAACCTCCAAGTAAGTTTCTCCAACTCCAAGTCCTAAACCCACGGGTCCTACCAAAAGAAACACTCCAAGCCACTCCTACTCTCGGGCTCGATAGACCTCCAGGTCTATGGGCTATTTCACACCAGAGACTGTGCGGGGCTACCTCTTGGATCATTTCGCCCCGGAGCGCATGGTCTTCGTGGGGGTGAACGTGCAGCATGCGGAGCTCACCAAGTGGGTCATGCGTGCCTCAGCGAGCAGCGAGAGCAGCTAGAGCAGTCGAGGGGTTGATTGGGGGGACATTTTCTTTTCACATGATTGGCACATACCAGAAAAAACATAGAAACACCTCGCACAATGTGGTGGCCATGTTCAGATGGTGTTTGAAAGATGTTTGTACTTGGCAATCTGTCAGATGAGCTAATTTCATCGAACACATTGTCCACCAATCCGCCATACTCATCACAGGTTACCATCTTGAACCCCTTCGAACGAATCCGTCCACAGATCCATCCATCAATCAGGCTCTTTCGCAGATTACAATGCCATCCCTATGAAGAAGCGTGAGGACACCAAGGCCTGGTTTTTATTCCAGCCTCCAGGTCCAGCGGCTTTGTCGGTGTGGGGGTATATATAATATATATATATATACCCAGACACGACCCGTCTGGGACTGCCATATACACATACATTGGGGTGGTTGAAAAAGGGGTCAATGTATGTAAGTATTCCATACATGGAGTGTAGATTTTCTTTTTTGAGCACACTGCTCCCCTCCAAACATTTGCGCGGAACCAGCACAACCGTGAGGATGTAACCTGCATTGCACCCAAATAGAGAAAATCCAAACGTTTCCGGATTTGTGGAAAGATAACATATTATGTTTAATTGACAATGTATATATATATATAGGTAGTGCAGGCATGTGCAGCTTGCAGATTCCACACGAGAATGGTCCATGGTCTTCTTGATCATGGACAGCAACAAGTTGTTCTTTTGGAAATCCGGTCACCCTGGATGACCCGGTTGGATTGCACCAACAACCATCAGTGTTGGGCGCAAAAAACGCGTGGACAGCGCCTCGACATGCCTCAACTTCCTCACGTTCTGGATCAGTTGAAGCCAAGCTTATGAGTCACTGGAGACAAGACCGCCGAATGACGAAACCCGGGGAAGTGCAAATGATTATGGTGTCATACCACTGTGTGTGTTTTTTTGGTGTGCGTGTGTGTCCCCACCTGTCCCCAAGGAATTCGTTTGCCCCGCTTTTCACCTTTGTTCTTTCGCCAAGAAGCAGGGGGACGGGTCCCCACTGATACTGCCCGTCCAACGAAGAGGGTATCAGTTGGTGCTGAAGCGGTGGAGGAGGCTCCACTGTGTACCTGCATCGAACGCAATGACTCCACTGGTCCACCCTTCCGCTGTTTTTTGCCTCCATGGTTTTTACATGCTATCCCCCCAAACCTTTCCCCGTTGACTGCAGCCGCGTCACTGCTGAGTTTTGTGAGACTTTTTAGAAACAGGGTTGAAACATCTTCAATTCAGCTGACTCAGCCGCCATGCCATTCCAGCATTCCTTTCTGCGTGGATTCTCTTACTGGATCAACCATATCGAAGTGGAGATGCTTCAGCTCTCCTGGACGAACGGGCCCCATCGATGATGTGCCAGAGAGTTCTGTAAGCTTAGAAGCCAAAGCAATGCACCTCCCAGCACAGTGAGGGAACGACACGCGTGCGGTTCTCCCTACAGAACGCGCTGGTCGCATAGAATTCGCTGCAGAAATGGATTTCTTTCCGATGGTCTGGCATTCCAAAATGTCCTGCTGAAAGAGATCCACTTCGCAACAGATAAGCCTGAACAAGATGGGGTCTGACCCAGTTGTTCTAGATGTTGGTCCAACCGAGATCCAAACGAGATACTTTGAGCCGTCTTCCGCTTCAAAACGAAGGTCCGATTTTCCACCGGTTTGTTCCACCTTCCTGCTCCAGGCCACCTACACCGGTGGCGACATGCGAATGGAGGGCAAGTCCCCCTACTGCCACCTCGCGCTCGGGCCGGGCAGCTCATGGGACCTCGGGTGGATCTTCGGTGTGGTCGGGACCTCCCGCCGGCGATGGTCGGAACACGGAGTTTCCAAGTGGGGTACACTCCGAACACATCACATGGAAGTGGATGGCACCCCCTGTTCGTAAAGGAAAGTCGTCTTCCAAGGGACCATGCCATCCACTTCCATGATAGCGAGTCAGAGTGTAATAGCTTTGGGATGTGTATCCTCACACACCCAGCATTCGAGAATTTTGGGGTTGGGTGAACAACTCGTGCACGCGCAAGAGTGCGCAGCCGCTGGTTTCTGGGGTAGCCTGGTGGGCGGAAGCCGCCGGCTTCCAGCCTCAGCGTTTTTTTGCGGGGTGTTTTTAAGCGGAATCTTTCGTGGCCATGACATCCACAGGACATTGTTCAGCAGGGCATTCTAATTTAATTGGCACTTGTTAGTATAAAAATGGTCCACCAGGAAGCAGGCCGCAGCTCACATAAATTCATCCCATGCCATGGGGTAGCTCAACTCACTGTAGCTGCTTGGACCACTAAAATCATGTTTATTGCTTGAGATGGATCGCACACAAACAAAAACACCATGGCAGCCCCTGGATGTCATCACCCTAGACAGCCTCTCCTTCTTTCTTGCAAAGAAACTGGCACCAACTAGCTTTATGTCGGGCGCGCCAGCCATAGATACAAGGAGCCAAAATAGTTTTATAAAGCAATAACACAGCAAAAAACAACAGGTACTCTCCCTTCAAGAAGAGAAAGGTCAACATATCAATCCCCCACACACATACACCTGCTCATACATGCTCACACATACAACCCCCCAAACCTTTTCCCCTTTGCAGACTCTGAATCAAATTGCGTTTCCAACCAAATGCCGCAAAATCTCGCGTTTGCAGCTCCTCCTCCCAAGGGCCCCCAAAGCACCAAAAACGCCGGGCGCGGGACGAACGCAAAAACAACACCACAAACGACCTGTCAGGGACTGACAGATTGACCGATCATCTTGGGGGGGCTATAGTGGACTTCGATTTCAGGGCGGTACATCTTCCAATCCGATGCGAAAACCACGCGGCCAGTTGACCCCACCTCAACCACGCGGCGACCCGCGGGCGCAAACGGGCGCGAACGCTGCGCAGGTTGCAGTCCTGCGCCTTTGGGCATGCTGAGCTGGCGCCCGTCGCCCTCATCCAGGTGATCTCGCGAGTTCGGGGGGGTTTGGTGTCCAGGTGCTGAGTGACTCAACTCCCGGTTCGGTGGGGGGAATGGGAGTGAGTTTGGGAATGAGACTTCTGAAATGGGAGAGGAGAAGTGAACATGGTTGCTCATGGAAGCCCGGAAAACCTTCTGGCATTCGAATTCTTGCTCTTGATTTCTGCCTTCCACCAACATGCAGCAAGCAGGCTTTATCAAGAGCAGTCATATGTGTGTGCTCGCCACTGGAATTACTTCACACATGCAGAACTTCACATCTACTTGCAGTCAGACTCAGACATTGCTTTTCTGCGATCGCCAAGCAAGCCTTTTCCGTGGCTTTCTCCGTGTGACGAGACTTGATGGTGTAGCTTTGTCGAGAACGCACCGACCTGGTGCCTCCGGATACTCCAACGTTTGGATGGTGTAGCTTCCATGTTTCCGTTGTTCATGGGGACGGCTTGGTGTCAATTGCTCCAACGGTGCATATGACATAGAACCAAGAAGACCTGCTTCAGTCCGGATTTTGGACACAATCAAACATATATACACAATAAGGTTTCAAGTATGATGATCGGGCATGGTCTTGCACTACATCTGGTCTTGCGTTTTTCCCCAGATAGCGAAGCTATGGGGTTCTTACTTCAAATAACAATGAGTTGCCCGCGCGCTTTCGAGACAGGTTGCTGGTGCTGGTGCCGGGTGCCGGTGCTGGTGCTGGGTGCCGGGGGCCGGTGCTGGTGGCGGTGCTGTGAGCTGGCTGTGCACGTGTGGAGACAGGTTGCTGGTGCTGGTGCTGGGTGCCGGGTTCCGGTGCTGGTGCTGTGAGCTGGCTGTGCACGTGATGGAGACAGGTTGCTGGTGCTGGGTGCCGGTGCTTGGCTGTGCACGTGATGGAGGCAGGTTGCTGGTGCCGGGTGCCGGTGCTGGTGCTGGTGCTGTGAGCTGGCTGTGCCGGGTGCCGGTGCTGGTGCTGTGAGCTGGCTGTGCACGTGGTGGAGACAGTAAGCTGGCTGTGCAGGCTGCGTACATCTTGTTCCAGCCAGTCGCATGTCAACAGGTCGTGGGATTCTGCCTAGCTATCTGGGTCTATGCTGGTGTAATTTCATGAAAACACGAGGAAACTCTGGTCTTGCTGCAGGCCATTTGATCCAAGGGATCATCGCCTCCCATGAAACGGCTCCTCGGGCGTTGCACAACGCCAGGAGCTCCTGGGCGGTGGAGCGGCGGCCACCAGCACCATCGGCTCCGGTGTGACCTCGCGGCTCTCCACCCAGGCGACGGTCGCGACGCCCAAGCCGACGCACCACGGACGGGACGTCGGGACTTCGCTCGGCCACCAACGGATGGGACCTCCCGCCGCAGCCGCAGACGTGGGGTCCGAGAATCGCGGACGGACGCTGGGATGGGTGGGTGGTCAAAGTGACCCCGTGGGTTCAACTCATGCCCTGAAAACCACTGGTGCTAGAGGAAACCAGTCTTTCTGGGTCCCATTCGACCCGGGTCCATGCTGGCTTTCGGGAGTGTCAGATGGGTTGAATGGGCTCCAGGTGTTCTAGGATCGAACTTCAGGGCCGGAACCCGGCCAAACGACACAGATTTGACCACGTTCTGGTAGAAGGCCACAGAAGCACAGAAGCTTTTGCCCCCCAGCAGGGCGCAGAGGTTGATCGCGTTATTAGGCCATCAGCTAGCGACCAGATCGTGACCCTTTGTTCGAACGTGGCTTTTCTTGAGTCCTTTAAGTCCTGTAGGAGAGGGAAATAGCGGGAAACTCCTTAGAGCCTTACCTACCACTCTTATCACGAAAGGTAGCTTGAGCTACCTGAGTTCTCCTTGCTTTAGCAAAAATGTATTACAATCAGGAGTTGGGATTGTGCATTGAATTTGGTCCTGTAAGAGTTGATTCTGTTCGTCAAATCCCCCCTGCGCCGGTTCACGCCGTCGTGGACTTCTACCAGGGTTACTTGTGATTGCCTGCTACCTTTCGTTCACCCCCTCCTCTCTCAAGTATAGAAATATGTAGGAGCTCTTAGGATTGGCGACCCGATCCCACCATTGTGTGGTGTCAGGTGTCCGTTCTCCCGACGACGGGCTTCCGGACCTTCACAGCTAGAATCGAGAGACTCCCCAGCCACTGAAGGTGAGTCGGTTTTTCATTTTCCCATTTAGATCTTTGGGGGTCCCCGACCCTAGGGCTCCAGTCGTACCTTCTGAGAAGGTGGGACTGGGGTGGAGTGTTCGACACCATTCCTGTAGCTGAACAATCCTCTCTACATGGTCAGTACACCTTGTATCTCTGCCTCCGGAAATCGAGGAGGACATGTTCAGACATCTCTAGGCACCAACATTGCTAGGCTGTTGAGCAGAGCTTCTTGCATCACTTCCGAAAACATGTGGATGATCATGGGTTATCAATTCTCCTTTATCCAAGTGCTGCAAGATTTATATAACTGTCTGACAAAAATATGCATCAACATGTCTGCAACATCCCCTACCTTGAGCAGAAGGCTCCATGCTCTCAGAACACCTGGCCGAACGGGCTCAGCACCTGGCCATGCAGGTGGTGAAGCAGAGCCCCTTCGTCGAGTCGTGCATGGCCTTCAATACCTCGTGCGCGATCCTTTTCCCCAAATTTCTCCATGGGACTGGTATCTTTGCCTACTATGTGGTGCTTTTGGGTATCCATGGGACTGGCATCTGGAAGGAGTGTGTTCTTCGGAAAACGCCCGTGGCTTTTGACCCCAGACGCAGGAGTCAAAGACTATAAAAAGAATGGTCTGACTAGGTGACCCGTGTCTAGGAATATCCTTTACATCAGTCGGTCAAAATATAGTCTAGTCTTTGGACTTCTAGGGTATAAGATCCATAATAAGGACATTGCTGGGAAGTCAGATAGATCAAGAATCAAGATAGATCAGTTAGGATAGACCAGATAGCTGATGCCTCTCGGAGGGAGCGCCTTCGGAGCCGCAGGCATCCAGATTCGCCAGTTATACAGGTCATTCCCCATGATTTCCCGGATTCACTGTCCAGTCAGATACAGTCTTGCACAAATGTTTGGAAGACTTAAACATCATATCTATCCCAGACACTCCATGGGACTGCCATAGGACTGCCGCCCCATTGACCCCCCTGGCACCACCCCAACTGATCGGCAGTCCTATGGCAGTCCCATGGGCCGTGTCTGAGTTTCTTTTTGGATCCGCAAAGAGGTTTTTGGCACCTTTTTCTCCACTGCTCGCTCTCACGTTACACGGGCGACCACACGGGCGAATCGCCAGGTACGCCGACAGCGGCCTCTTCGGCGTCTACGGCGTGGGCCAAGCCGAGAAGGTGTGGCAAATCCCGTAGCGCAGAACATCCCGACGACTCGCTGGGAGGCCATCCCATTGGTGTTTTCATCGGACATCCTCGCCCCACTATGGGGCGTGAAATACCATTATAATCAAGAGTCTACATGATTTGTGGTTGGGGGCCCGTGAGACAGGGGAGCAACCCGCAGTCGGACAATTTGTTAGACGTTATGTTTTTCGAGCGATTTGGGGGCGACTTCGAGAAGATTCGACCACTCACGTAGGGCGGTCTGCAAGATTTTGAGTGGAGTTGGTGAGAGGTTTGCGAGATCTTGGAAGTCCGACAGGACATTCAGGATCTACAGTGGTTTCAGAGTAGATGGCACATGATGGCACAACCCCCTATACACGTCCTATAGACAGATGGGGGTTCATATTATAAACCACCAAAGATGGGGTAACTTGTGCCATTTGTCATCTACTCCGAACCCACTGTATCTATGATTCACGCAGGTCAATTGGACCTTGTACGGAGGAAACCCATCCCGCAGGTCAATCGGAAAACACCCCCCCCACCGTTCCACGCTGGACCGACTCCCTCAACGACCGGACCGGACTGGACGACCGGACCGGAGCTTGGTCCACCCATCCATCGTTTGGACCGATCGAACGGGCGAGGGGAATGGAGGGAGGTCAAACAGCGTGGCCTCCGCTTGTTCGGCGCAGTCATTGCTCAAGGCCCCAAAGACGTGTCTCAGTTTCCTATCTCTCCAAGAGGCCAATTCGTGCGGAGCAATGGCTGTGCTCAAGTATGCTCGGACGTTCATTTGTGTGCAGGACGGATCCGAGGCTTCGTGTGTTGAAGGATGCTGGATGGCTCTAGGTGATGCGTTCGTTGCATGCATGTCTGAGTACAACTTGTATCTTGAGCCCCGACTGAGTCGGAGGGGTCTTCAATATGGTTATATAATGGTTCAAGTCTTCAATGCCATCTGGATCAAGCTTTGACAGCGCAGCCCGCCCGAAGCCGCATCGCAGACACCCACCAAATTCCAGAGAATTCACTTCTGACTCAGAGCGCTAGCGCTCTTTCTCGCCTACTGTGAGTCTGTATAGGCGCACGGTGACTACTGTGAGTCTGTATGGGTTAGGGACTTCATGATTTTCATCATTCCGCACCACCTCACGCCAGCCAGGAGGAGAGCAAGATGGAACAACGAGCCAGGAGCCTACCGCCGGTTAGGAGCCTACCGCCCTCTCTCTCCAGGACCGACCGAAACCGAAGAAAGCGACCGACTTCTCTCGAAACAGCAGAAAGCTCACTGGTCGTTCTACCTCCAGGACCGAGAAGTACGTGGCCTCGTTGGAAGAGCGCGCAGATGCTCTGTCCTTCATGCCGACCACGAAGACGCCGCCCGAATCATCCGAATCCACAGGCGTTCGGCGAACATCAGGGTGTTGTTGGTCATTGGTGTGAACATCAGGTTCCTTGGTCATTCACTTGGCGTATGCCAATGACATATAATCTATCATTAAATTAGATAACATTATTTGTCAATGTCATCCCTTTTTCACGTTTCAAGATTGTCATCGTTTGCCTGGAAGGAACAGCTTCGGGTACGAATGATACATTGCCGGAGCGGGCCACTCTCCCTTCTGCTGGCAGTGTGGGGCATCCAGATTTTTGTCGGAGGCCTTGCGTCTTGTGGGCATATGGTGAGTGTCCCAAAGGCGCGACTTGCGACGCTTCGTCGCAAAGAGGGGAATGGTGTACTTGATGCATTTTCTTTTAGGAAAGAATCAAGATTGAGTCAAGACGCATGTTGCAAACTATCGTAAATCTAGCGTCGTGTGTTTAATAAGGGGCACAGAGAAGATGAAAAACACCACGCCAGGTAGAGAAACATGATGAGAAGGTGGCACAAGCAACCTTTCTTTGATTGTGAGCGAACGCTTATGATTATGATTCATGATTCATGCTCAACTTGCATAGGAAAAGAGAAGACACCACTAAGGAACTCTGTCTCTTTGCTGGCCGGTTCTGCTTTGGACTCCACTTCGGAACTGGTAAAGCTACAGTAGCAGAAAAGATGGTGTTGCTCCAGAGACATGCAGCATCATGTAGCTGACTCCTTTTTCAGACATCGTGGGTTCTGGGGTCTTTTGTTTCAGACATCGTACGTTTTGCCCCATGTTCGATGCAAGAGTCCTCGCGAGTGTCGCGGACCAAGGACTTTTGCCACTGTACTCACACCGAGCGTGTGACTTGAACGGCAGAGGCGGAGAGGTCTTCAGGGACTCAAAAAACACCCATCAGTTCTGACGATTGATGCACTCTTTTCCGGTTCAGTGGAACACCCACCCACCCATCCACCTACCCACCATCCTTTGCTGGAACATCGTCATCCAGTCGTTGTACATGCGCGTTTCGTGTAGAACAAGGACGGCAGTGCTACGGGCGGTTTCGGGCGGCGGCAACGACTTCTGCCTGGACGACCGGACGTTTCGGGCGATGTCGACATGGACGACCGGACTGGGCGACCGTCGTTTTCCCCAAAATCATCGTTTCGCCTTTCGAACCTGGTCCCAACCAACCAATCACTCAGCTTGCTTGTAGGAAGCTGAGGTAGAGTCGAGATCACGATCCCCAGAATCAGAAGAACCCTCCCATGTTCAATCATGTTCCTCCATTTTTCATGGAACATCGGATGCCTCTCGTCAGACGAGTGACGAGAGTTTCCGTCTCGGTCCCATGACTGATGTCTGCAACCGTGAACCGGGGCCCGTGCCGTGACTCCAAGGCGAAGGCCAAGTTTGACAAATTTCAGCGGGAAACACTTCATGCCCTTTCGGAGTGCCTCTGCGGCAAACGTTTCGTTGGATTTTTCGGTGTTGTCCTTTTTTTCCCCAAGCTAGCAGCATTGAAACCATGAGCTTTTCAAAGTGCGCTGGCAGGCTGGCATGTTCCAACCGAACTGCTTGCGCATGTGCAAGCGCATGCGCAAGCGCTCAGGGCAAACTTGCTGGGTTTCTTGCTACCTTTCCTTCGCAGGCGTGCTGCTGCTTGGCCCTAAACATCGTCGATCTTGGCTGGGTAGACGGGTGTAATGGCCTGGGGCCTGGGAGCTCGTTCCGGGGCGAACTGGAACACCTGGGAGGTGTCTATATGTAGCTGGAACGCCTGGGACTCCCAGATCAGTCAACAAATGCCGCAGTCAGACCATGCTGTCTTGGCGTAGACAGAGGTCGGGACGATTCAATCCAAAGAAAAAGGCCTATTGCCAAAAAGACATGCGCTTGTCACTTGCCCAGTTTTGGAGATGCTGCAGTTTTGATGTGCAGCTCCAAACAAGTCTTTTGCAAGAGACGCAAAGCTGACTGAGGCAGAGATGATGGATCCCAATGCTGCTGAAGAGGCCAGAGGGATTTTTACAAAACCTCCAAACCATTGGGTAGAAGAAGGAACCAAGTATCTGACACATAACCCAATTGGATTTTTACAAAACAAAAACCAATTGTCCAACCAATATTGAACACATAACCCAGACACATAACCCTGTCTGGGACACTTCCGCAGTCCGGGCTCGTGCCATGTCGTGCGTGGTGTGGGCTTGAAAGAGAGTGTAGAAATAGCGCACACGTGTAAGACACACGGATGGTTTTTTCCAACAGGTTGAAAAAAGAGAACACGGATCACTTAATTTGTACTGTATTTAAATGTGTATTTGTATACTATATATGTATTTGTACTGTGGTCCAACATGTTCCACATCTCACCAAACATGAGTCGACGAACACGCTTTGGCTTGGGCCCCGCTGCGCTGCAGGACCTGCTCTCGGGGTTCCGGGTGCCGGTCGGATTGACTCGGATGTCACACCGGTGCCGTTTTGGGTTTGGGCTCCCGCCCTGTTTCGGAGCTAAGCTCGGTCAGCTCGGTGGGAAAGAGACGGATCTACCAGGGTAAGCATGATATATAATCAATTACAGTAAGATTTCACATCGATAAACGACACAAAGAAACGCAAAGAACGGGTTCAGAAAGAGAGAGCAAGAGAGAGTAAGACCCCTCGTAAGAGTTCAATCGTTTGGCGGCCATTTTGCAAGGATCGGATGCGTCCGACCCCGCTTTGCAAGGATCGCGTCCGAGGTGTACCGTTTTGGAAGGATCGGATGCGTGCGAAAGAGTGACGTTCTGAGATTGAACTTGGAATCAAAGGATAGAGTGATGGTGTGTGTATCTTGTACATATAAAAACATAAATACATATAGAAAAAAGCAGGAGGTTGCTTCCCTCAGAACCAATGGTTATATTCCGGCCACATGTGTGATACCCAATAGACTAAATAAGAGCAACGCCAGAAAGCAACTAATGGCAAGTTGTGTCCAACTAACACCATGATCGTTATGGATGCGTTCGGTATCAGTATCTGGGGAGGGCCTTTTGCAGTCTGTTTACAGAACTCCCAACACATGTGATGCTAAAGCAGCTCCCAAGAGCACGAGGGCGCAATAGCCGGGCGCAAGGAGTTAACTAGTAAAACATCTTGGAGATGGAATGAAAATCAGGAGTCGATTAGTGCAGACAAGTCTGCACGTTTTCTTTCTTCTCAATGGCCACAAATGTATTCAAATATCTTAAGTATACTGTAAGAGTAAAGGTAAAGAGCAAAACAAACGAGATCAAACGAGTAAAGTTTCTCTTTGCACGAATGCTTCCACCTCAGAGACGAAGCATAAAGTAGACCAACTCACGGAGACTAGACGTGCGTTTTTGGCTGTAACCTAAGATGAGTCGAAGCTCTTCAAGAGAAGAAATCTGTGCATCATCTTGCTGAGACTCAATCTTATGAACCGTGGCCTTCTTTTTCCCGAATGCGTAGCGAAGGGTTCTCGTTTAACTCTTGGGGGTCTGGGGGTAGAGCCTTGTTCGCGATCCGTTGTTTCTACGTCCGCAACCGTCCGCAACCGTCCGCAACCGTCCGCAACCGTTCGCGGTAGAGCGCTAAGGCGCTGCCATTGGGGGAAGCTTTTGCAAGTGACTATTCATGGATGTGTCACGTGTCAGTTTGCGCCGCTATTCCATTGTGATTTGCATGAAAAAGACATGTCGCGCAAGCAACGTGATGCGTTTCGGCTGCACAGGCGCAGCGTTTGGTGAGATCTGCAGATTGCTGCGCAGTTCCATTGGGATTAGCGTTTGGAGAGTCGTGTTTTTGGGGTGTTGGATGTGGCCGTGCCATTGGAATTTGCGTTTCAGGGTGTGGCACCGAAGCTCTGTTTTCGTGACAAGTCTCAGCTGAAATGCCGATTTTGGTGGATGAGAGTGTGCTCAGAACGGGTCGAAATCATTCCAAACGTGTGGTGTGGTGCAAATTTTGTTGAAGCTCACATGAGATGACATTGTTACTTTTCGTGGCAGGCGCAGGACTTTGTGCGGGCTTTGAGGTGTGGAAGTGGGATTTTCGTGGCAGGCGCAGGGAATCGTGAGGTTGCGATGTGTGACGGAGGTGACATTTCGTGGCAGGCGCAGTACTTTGTGCGCGTTAGACGTGTGGACGCGGAAAGATTCGTGGCAGGCGCAGGGAATCGGGAGGTTGTGAGTTGTGGTAGAGGTGAATGTCGCTGTCACATTGGGATTGGCGTGTGAGCGGGTGTCGTTTGGAGGGGCTGGAATCGCGAAACTGCTTGGCAGGGCTGCGTGATGTGTGTGCTCCGATGGGTGTTTCCGCTGGACTTTTGGAGGAAGTCTGCGAAACGTTCGTTTTGCAGACTTTGACATGTGAGTTTTTGAGGAAGTCTCGTACGAAACGCTCGTTGTGACTTTTGGAGGAAGTCTCGTACGAAACGCTCGTTTTGGAGACTTGACGTGTAAATTTTGGAGGAAGTCTCGAACGAAACGCTCGTTTTTGAGACTTGACGCGTGACTTTTGGAGGAAGTCTCGTACGAAACGCTCGTCTTGCAGCCTCGCAGCGTGACTTTTGGAGGAAGTCTCGTACGAAGAGTGTGCCCTACAGGAGTGTCCCACAAGAGTGTCCTACAAGAGTGTCCCACAAGAGTGTCCTACAAGAGTATCCCACAAGAGTTTCCTACAAGAGTGTCCCACAAGAGTGTCCCACAAGAGTGTCCTACAGGAGTATCCCACAAGAGTGTCCTACAAGAGTGTCCCACAAGAGTTTCCTACTAGAGTGTCCCACAAGAGTGTCCCGCAACAGTGTCCCGCAAGAGTGTCTCACAAGAGTGTCCCTTAAGAGTGTCCCACAAGAGTGTCCCACAAGAGTGTCCCGCAAGAGTGTCCCAAATGAGCCCCACAGGAGTGTCCCACAAGAGTGTCCCGCAACAGTGTCCCGCAAGAGTGTCTCACAAGAGTGTCCCTTAAGAGTGTCCCACAAGAGTGTCCCGCAACTGTGTCCCACAAGAGTGTGTCCCACAAGAGTATCCCACAAGAGTGTCCTACAGGAGTGTCCCACAAGAGTGTCCCACAAGAGTTTCCTGCAAGAGTGTCCCACAAGAGTGTCCCACAAGAGTGCCCTACAGGAGTGTCCAACAAGAGTGTCCCACAAGAGTGGCCCACAAGAGTGTCCCACAAGAGTGTCCTGCAAGAGTGTCCCACAAGAGTGTCCCACAAGAGTGTCCCAAATGAGTGTCCCACAGGAGTGTCCCACAAGAGTGCCCTACAGGAGTGTCCCACAAGAGTGTCCCACAAGAGTGTCCCACAAGAGTGTCCCGCAACAGTGTCCCACAAGAGTGT